AATACTTTCCGTACCCACTATATATATATATATATATATATATAAACAAACAAACAAAAAACATGGTAGCACAATGGTACATTTGGTAACACTTTACAATAATGATTAATGAACACTGATAAACATAACATTAATTTATTAATATACTGTTTTTCATTATTAATTAAAGTCATAGGCTAATACATTAACTTTTGTTATTGTATAAATCTGAAAATGTTAGAAATGCATTTTTAACACATTAAAAAACATTAATAAACAATGAATGCTGTCAAATTATTGTTCAATTTTTTTCATGATGCCTAATCCATATTCTTAACAATACCCTAATAAAAAGTGTTACCAGACTGTTTTGTTAGTGAATACATGATTAACTCACTAAAGATGAAAACATAACCGTATAATTATCAATATGTGAAAGAAATGTTTCTTATTTATGCTGCTTACTTCAACCTCACAAACAACCTACATTCTATTAATTTCTTCCTTCCGTTACCCATCAGCTTTAATAAAAGATCTCACATTAACAGTTACAGTTTGTGTGCCATAACTCTTTATACACACACCTGATACACACTTTACACATTCACCACAAAAACAAACAGACATTAAGTGCTCCCTGGGATGCATTTTCTGTGGCATAATGGTTTGTAGAAGATCTTTGTGTTGGCTGTTTCCATGGAAAGCACACAAGGAAAAGTCATACAATATGGGATTTAGACAGTACACACTCAAACTGTGATATCTGCCTTGTTCTCAACTGTCAGGGCACCATGGTACAGCCAGCTGAAAGACTGTAAGGCTGAAGAAAAAAAAGGATTCTCAGAAAAAGACATAAAGGAGTGGTGTTGCCACAATTTAATTGCTTTCTATCTCAATGAACATAATGTTGAAACATGGCTATTAATGCATGTATATAGAATTGTCCATCCCTCCCAGTCTCCCTCTTGCATTTCCTTTCTCCTGTTTTATTCTCATCCCTTAAAATACAAATTTCATCCACCACTTATTACAATCTGTCATTCTCCTGTATTTCTGTTCTCACATTGTTATAATGGACAATGAATGAGAGCTGTACAAGAACAATAGATGTGTAGAGACCCCAACTGCATGCTCCTCATTCCTCTCTGTCCCACTTTCAGATGACCTGCTACAGCCAATCAAAACACAGAATCTGATTCAATGTTTTACTGCATTGCTTTATAGCACTATAGCTCTATTCTCCAGCCACTGTGGTGAACAATGAGATTGCTGTATGTGTGAAAAAAAGACTGAGAGAGAATGAGAAAGAGACGGGGAAAAGGGCAGAAGAGGGTGTGAGATTGAGGATGTCTGGCATTCAGATTTTCCCACAGATTTGAAGGCATTCCCATGCAAGTGGAATGGAATATTCCATGTTTTCGCTTTTAGTTCAGGGTCAGAAGTTCTATAAACCTTACCTCAAGTTCATCTGCAGAACTCACCAGGTTAACAAAATCCTGGTAGCAGATCTTTCCATCAGCATTTCCGTCCGCCAGTGCAAGAAGAACCTCCAGCTTGTGGGGGTCCAGTTCTGATCCATGAGCCGCAAGCAGGTCTCGGAAATGCTCAGTACTGATGAAACCTGAATTCTCTGGGTCATACTGAACATATCACACAGGAGAAACAGGAAATTGGAATTCATTTTCACATTCTGATTCTAAAACATTTCCACAACACTCACTGGTGAAAACATTATGAGAACAGTTAAAATAATTCAAAACAAATTCTGTCTGCCATCTTTGAAATCATAACATGATGATATTCATTACTGAGGAATGTATCCATCATTCCATCTGAGGACTATATGCAGAGAGACAATTCTGGATTTCATCTATTAAATAAGTTAGAAAATAAATATCAGGGATTGTGAAAGTTAATTTGTTAATACACTGAATATTGTCACCTTTACACTGCCAAGTCTGCACAGCTGTATCTGAAGTGTAAAAAATACACTTGAAATGCATGATATATAATGTTTTTCATAAAACTTGTAGAAATAATTTTAAATATTAATGTTGTTTAATATGAAATTATGAATACAGCAACATGGCATTCAATGAAGGATGTGGCCCTGATGCTTTAATTTACACAGAACAAAATCAACATCTGAACCACCTCTGATACTAGGGCATTATAACTGTTCAGTTCTCTGTGATTTCTGACAACTGAACAGAACTTTCAGAGCTGATAGGAACTGAGCCACAGCACAAATGTCACACACAAAGTTTCTGACAAAGACCTGTTTATCCGGAAATGCTAGAGAAAGTCAGATGGGGTGTTTAAAGGGGTCATATGATGCTGCTAAAAAGAACATTATTTTGTGTATTTGGTGTAATGAAATGTGTTTATGCGGTTTAAAGTTAAAAAAACACATTATTTTCCACATACTGTACATAGAGTCATTTGAGTTTGCAAGTTTATTGAGGCAAAAGTCATAGTTAATAGTTAGTGAGATTTGGTCCCCAAACTAAGGTCTGACCATTGGGGCTTACAAACCCCATATATTTGTGTTTAGGTAATCAAAAAGATAAGGATGGTTTGATGGCATACTATCAATTACATAATCTGTAGACATAGTTCAAAGAGCTCATCCTGTTTTAGTAATTGGTGTCAATGTGTCAGCCCTTCAGGCTTTCAAACATTAGTTCACTGTTTGCTTGGGCAGCTAAGGTCATAAGGCCAAAGAACAACAGGCTGAAGATTCAGAGTTTCTTTGATGTCTTTGAAAACCCCCAAACATTAATGCAAACATGCATATGTATACACACACATATACACTGATTTTACCACGGGTAGGACATGTGGATTACCTAGAACCCCCGGTGAACGTGATTTCACCAAGTACAACATGTTCCTGGATCAACATCCTTGTTGATCCTGGAACAACATTCCAATCAACCAATCAGAACTGAGGGATAAGTTTTCAAGAAATGTCAGTTTTAGGCTTGCAATCAGGGTTAGATGCTTCTACACCCTTGTTATTCACCTATCATTTCCTTCTGATTTTAGGAATAAATCATGGGTAGGGTTAGGTTTAGGGGTAGGGATTGGGTTAAGTCTATATTTTTGGACAGTTATGTTGATCCAGGATCAACAACAGATGTTGATCCAGGAACATGTCTTACTTGGCAAAATCACGGCGACTGTGTTGCCATACCCTAGCATTCAGAGTTCAGACAATCCCTCTCATCTTACCATTAACTTCCTTTTCCTTACAAAAGAAAAAAAAAACTTTTCTCTTACAGGAAAATTGGAAGCAGCCAATTATTATCCTGTTATCTGCTCTGTTGTTATTTTTCTTTCCTCCCTCCATTCTCTAGCTATGCTACCTGTGTGTGCTTACTAATTTTCCCCACAGAGACTACAAATTAGGAGCACGCCCACCAGAGAATCACAGTCGCCGAGAACTACACTCACCTGTCCCTTACACCAGTGGTTCTCAAACTGGGGGCCGCGGCCCCCTGGGGGGCCACCAGATGGCGCTAGGGGGGCCGCATAGAAATTCTAGAATCTAGATTAGGAAATTATAAAAAATTATTTTACCTGTATGTAAATCAGGATTGTCAATCTATGTAAACTATATCAAAAATAATAATATCATAATAAAATAATATCAATTATACGCAGCACACTACGGAAACACTCCGTTGATGTACTAGTGCACAGAACGGTTAGCCATGAACACGCTGATAAATGCTAAGACTCTTTAAAATGGATAAGTTTTTAGATAGAGGATGCAGTGTCTCAGCTGAGAAGGTTAATACAGAAGAGCCTAGCGTGAAAAAAACGAAACTGCGTAAATTTGACGACTCGTACATAAAATATGGCTTTATGGAATATAGTGACGGCAGACCACAGTGCACGCTGTGCTTGAAGATTTTATCCGTTGAAGCGCTGAAACCATATAAACTCAACAGACATCTCACAACAATTCATCCGGAGCATACGAATAAAAGTAAGGATTTTTTCCAAAGAAAGAAAGAAGAATACATCAAGCAAAAGGTACGACTGACTAACATCACGACAATACCTGAGAAAGCACAGCAAGCATCGTATCTTGCAGCCCTGCGAATAGCCAAATGTAAAAAGCCTCACACGATCGGGGAGGAATTAATACTTCCAGCAGCAGTGGATATGTGCAGAGTGATGGTCGGGGAGGAGGCCGCGAACAAGATTAAATCCATACCGCTGTCCAACGATACAGTAAGCAGACGGATCAAAGACATCTCTTTTGATGTGAAATCTCAACTGACCGAAAGATTACGATTGTGTGAGCAGTTTGCGCTTCAGCTTGATGAATGCACTGACGTTAGCAGCGCTGCACAGTTGTTAGTGTACGTTCGATATTTATGGGACAGTAAAATTATGGAAGATTTTTTATTTTCAAAAGAACTCGAGGGGAGAGCTACAGGTGAGGAAATTTTCAAAATGTTGGACACTTTCATGGTAGAAGAACATCTGAGTTGGGAAAAATGTGTGTCTGTTTGCACTGATGGTGCGGCAGCAATGACTGGGCACAGGAGTGGATTTGTCATGCGAATTCAAGCCATAAATCCAAAGATCGCAGCCACTCACTGTATGCTTCATCGTCAAGCACTTGCATCGAAGTCAATGGCACCCGACCTGCATGATGTTTTGGAAGTAGTAGTAGCGGCTGTCAACTTCGTGAAGTCAAGACCGCTGAAGTCACGTCTCTTTGCAAAACTATGCACAGAGATGGGGGCAGCTCATGATCGGCTACTCTTCCATTCAGAGGTGCGGTGGCTCTCACGTGGAAAGGTTTTAGAGCGAGTGTTCGAACTGAGACGTGAGCTTCATGAATTTTTGAAAGAACATAAACTTGATCTAGAACAGTTTTTTTCTGACCAACAGAGGATGGCAAAACTGGCCTACCTTGCAGACATTTTCAGTAGTCTCAATGGACTGAATCTGTCCATTCAGGGATGTTATTCCACAATATTGGAGGCAAGTGACAAAATAAATGCATTCAGGAGAAAAATGGACCTGTGGGTACATAAACTACAAAGAGGCATCACTGACATGTTTCCAAATCTATCTGAATTTTTGGATACAAACTGCATGGGAGTGGACTTCATGCTCAACACCATTACCAGTCACCTCACCTCACTGAATGAACATTTCAGTCACTACTTCACAGACATTGACATGGAGAAATATGACTGGGTTCGAGATCCCTTTTCTTGTCAAGTGATGGCCAGTGGCCTCAGTGGAAAGGCCGAAGATGAACTTTTGGAATTATCCAGTGATCACACTCTCAGGATGAGATTTAATCCGCAGGGCCCAGCTGAATTTTGGCCCATGGTTGAAAATGAGTGCAAGGAGGTTTCTCTTCATGCCATGAGAATATTTTTGCCTTTCCCAACAACATAGCTTTGTGAGACATCTTTCTTAGCCACAATGGCAATAAAGACAAAATACAGGGCACAGCTTAATGTGGAAGATGACTTGAGAGTTTGCCTGTCCCCAATAACACCCAGAATTGATAAGCTCTGCAAAGAAAGACAGTCTCTCCCTTCCCACTAAGGCAGGCTGTGTGCATTTGTACAGTGACTGTCGTTAAATTGATGTTTCTGCATTGCATGATTTCTCAATGTGCAATATTATGACTCAGTCACTTGTTGTATATACTTTTATAATTATAGTGTACAGTCTATAGTTTCATGTATTGTCTGTGGTTATATGTTTGTTTTCTAACACCAGTCAGGAGCAGTGCTCCTAATTTCATTATATGCACAAAAAAAAATACAATTACAATAAAGGTTTTCAATTCAATTCAAAAGGTTTATTGAGAAATTTTAAAACAGAAAGCCCAAAAAAGCACACATAACACTACATGGCTTTCAGACATTAAAACTAAAAATATAAAATTACTTTTTCCTTATTCAAATACAACCAGCAGACAATAAGAGTTGATAAAATATAAAACGTGTGCTGGCAAAATGAGTCTGAATGCGCATGGGCTTGTAAGGATGAAAGAAACTCAGAGACTTTGATCTCCTGAAAAACAGACAATACAAACATACACGGGCATCTTCGAGACTGTGAGCGTGATTTGACCAAGTACAACATGTTCCTGGATCAACATCCTTGTTGATCCTGGAACAACATTCCAATCAACCAATCAGAACTGAGGGATAAGTTTTCAAGAAATGTCAGTTTTAGGCTTGCAATCAGGGTTAGATGCTTCTACACCCTTGTTATTCACCTATCATTTCCTTCTGATTTTAGGAATAAATCATGGGTAGGGTTAGGTTTAGGGGTAGGGATTTGGTTAGGTCTATATTTTTGGACAGTAATGTTGATCCAGGATCAACAAAGATGTTGATCCAGGAACATGTCTTACTTGGCAAAATCACGGCGACCTAGAACCCCCCTAGAATCATTGTATTGCACAGACTCATTTACTTTCTTTTCTTTTCTTTCTTTTTACTTTAGTCTTTTTTTTGTACTTTTTTCTTATTTATTTATTTATTAACAAAAGGTGCACCAACGGCATGATAAAAGACTGATAAAGAATTATATTTAATATTATATTGATATATTTTGGAATACAAAATTACACAATACACATTCAATTAATACATTAATTCCAAAATAATATTAATTCCAAATAATAAAATTAATTTCTAATTATTACATTAATTATTAATAATGAATAATTGTGTAACATTCCAACAATGAATGTTGTAGTTATTACATTAAATAATATAATATAGTTCATTAGGATGTTTGCGGTTTCCGAGTAACACTGCAACCATGTGCACTGATATGGAACAGGATGTCAATTCCTGCTCCTGAAGGGCCAACATCCTCCAGATTTGAGCTCCAACCAGCTCCAACACACTTTCATGGAAGTTTCTAGTAATCCTGAAAACCTTGATTAGCTGATTCAGGCGTGTTTAGTTAAGGCTGGAGGACATTCTGCAGGACAGTGGCCCTCCAGGAACAGGTTTGGACACCCCTGATATAAAATGTGGGGTCACAGGTGTGCATTTATTGTCAATGGCTTCAAACATGGCTTATCCATTCAGAATTTAGAGACTATCTGTTTGGTTGCACTTTATTTTACAGTACATGCACTTGCAGTGTACATACCTAAGAAAGTACTGGATAATACAGTAACTACATGGTTAGAGTTAGGTTCAGGGTTACGACCTAGTTATTATCCAGTTATTTTAATTAATGTACTTAATAAAACAGGACTATAAAATAATATGCTACCATCTAGAGATAACTCGGGATAATATGAGTGAGAGAGAAAACAATATTTCCAATTATATATTTAATAATTAGTTATTCAGACATACAAACACACAACAGCCTCTCTAAAGATTCACCCACCTTCTCTTGAATGATCTCTGCTAACTTCTGCGTGCTGTTAATTTTGTCCATACAAGTTTTCATGGTATGATCTGTTCCTGTTCCACACTGTCCCCATAGAGGGAGAGAGTGAGGAGCTGGAGACAGAGACTAATCTCTACCCACTGGGGATTTACAGCTCAGTGCAGACCCCCACCCCCAGAATACACACAAACAAACACCCACCACAAACTCCTCCCTCAACCCCTTAGCCTACATTCTTAGTACCTGATCACAAACACACACTTTCTGCCGTGAACAAGAAAACACATACATTCATGGTGCCATACCTACATGAACTATTTTTAGTAAACTGGCTAACAGACAGAGATGAGAGAATCCAGCTCCAACAATGGGGCTGGGAATGGGATGGCCTAGTTTATTCTGCCATCTTACCTAAATGTACATCACACACATACAGTACATACTCTCTCTGCTGAGCCTGCACATGCAAAAAATTTAACCGATGAATCTCACAAAATGACTCAGCTAAATGTAAGTGTGCTAAGTCCTTCCCTAAAATATCATTTCATTCAATTGTTTTGATGTTTTGTGAACTTGATAGTGCTTTTATGAAACCCTGTTGTACATAAAATGTATAATAAACACCAACCACTACAGCCCTAATAATTAAATACCACATTAATCCTGCTTCAAGACAGTCCTGGGGTTGATCTTTCATTACAGAGCTAAGAAAAGGGGTGGTATGTGTTTGTGAGACCCCTGGTATTCCAGGCCTCATTTTCATACAGCCGCATATTAAACAGTCTTCTTTACACAGGAGAGAATAGAGTTCACCAACTGCCACAATCTGTTTGTGTGTGTGTGTGTGTGTGTGTGTGTATGTGTGTGTTTGGAACGGGAGTGATAAAAAGATTAATACTCTCCAGTATTAATCTCCAGAAAATAGTAACAATAGTTGAATTCTTTGTTTCAAATGGAAACTACTTCCACCCCTGAGTAAAATAATAATAAAATAATAATTGTGAGATAAACTAAGAAATAATAAAATAGAAATAAAAAAAAAAAAACTGCAGTTGCAAGAAATCACACTGGGAGATACAAAGTCAAAAAAAAAAAAAAACTTGGAATGATGAGATACAAAGTCACAGTTGTGACATGCACAACATAGCGATAAGTTAAGTCGCAATTGTAAGAAATGAAATCACACTGCAATATTTAAAACCACATCGTGAGATATATAAAGTCATAATTACGAGATATAAACTAATTCTTTCTTTCTTTCTTTTGAGCAATAAATTTGACTCATCACTGATAATATACATTCAGAGAAGCCCTAAAATAAACTCAAACATTTTTTTTGTTGTTGGCAATGCTGATTGGATGTGTTAAATGGCTTCTAATAATCTCAAATGTAAACATTTCATTGTTTCTCCCTTCACACATAAACAGATGTACTGTATCCACATACACACAAAATGCTGCAAAACTGCAAAAGTTCTTCTACCACTAACACATGACCAACACGTGTAATTTCAGGCACCACTAAGTCTAACCTATAGCACCTCTGCACCATCCTGCATCTCCATTTTAGCTTAGCACTGTGGGCTATTATTTTTTTCCTACACATATACAACAAACCTTGTAAAACGTCTTAGTAAAATGGATGTTTATAGACAAAACTTCAGCAAGTCAGGATTACTATAAATAATCACAAGGTATTATTATAAAGAGGATAATCAATTAGCTAATGGAAGTTTAGGGCTGAGTAGATGACCTGGTCCATTACTAATGCACAAACAAATAACAGGAGAAAAGGGGTGGTGTGTTTCTCACATGCTCTTTAAATGCAGCAACATCTTAGAATAACATTCAGCATATACCTTATGCTGTAACCAAACTCATACAAGTCCATGTGAAAAAAAAAAATGCCATTCAAAGAGGATTAGCATAATTATCTCCTCATGAATAGGAAACATAAACAACAGGATTAAAACATATAGACCCTACACACAATCAAACAATAAGGAAATAATCCCCACCATCAATTATGTATCATTCTGCTGTATTGCAATAAATACATATACTGTACTGTATACATATATTTTCACATTGAATCTCCAAATTAGTGTGGAATTCACATAAAGACAGTATTTTAAATTTCTTATATTTTAAATATTTGTTTAATGGCATATTTTTATGCCAAGTATTATGAAAGAGATTAAAGATGTCAAATAGTCTAATTCTTAACATATTTCCTTGTTATCTGCAGTGTACAATATGCATCAGTTGGCGAGTATGAACCCTTCTGTCACTTACAGTATGGTAGTGGCAACACCAGACCATGGGGTCTATTAGAAAGATTGTTGCATCCATATAAGGCAGTCAGAGTGCAGAACTAACACTCTCTATCATGAGTGAGGAAATTTGCTTTGAAGAAAAGGGAAAAACTCCACCATCATCAAAATGCACTAATATGTTTGCGAGATTTAAATACAGAACTTTGGAGCTCATTTACCCAGAAATAACTCATTTTATAAAAATGAACACTGAATACAAATACTGTATTCATAAGTTTTATTTATTTGATTCCGAAGGGAGAACAATTTTAAAATTCAGTACCAAAACAAAATGCCAATTCAGAAGCTTAGATTCAGAAACACACTATATACACACTGGAACATTGGCTATCCCTCTTCAGCTCAATGTCTCTACAGACCTCTGTTACAAGACCTTCTGTTCTTTCATTAATGGCTAGACCAGAGGCTTGTGTCTCTACAAATTATGACATGAAACAATAGCAGCAGGGTCACAAATGCCATCAGGTGTGAGTTACAGCCTCCATACAGCATTTAGATAAAGAACCGACCTGACCACCATGATTTAAAAGCTGCTAATTAAAAACTACTGCTCAGAGGGGTCTCAAAGACAGTATTCACAAAACCGTTAAGAGCAGAAGCACTGTGCCCAGATTACTGTATGATGCCATTCACAGCAGCTATTAAAAGAAATGTGAAAACAGAACACTATCCAGGGAGTGTGAACACAAGCTCATTTTCACTGCTTGGGAGCACAGTCATTTCATGGCTGGTGCCTTCGGTACTGAAGACGCTATTCAAAATTACAAAGCAACAGTGTGTGGAAACAAGTCAAGAATGTACAGACAATCGTAATTAGCACTTCAAACAAAGGGTGCCATCAAACATTATGCATAGACAAAATGAACCACTTTTGTCTGGGTGCTCAGTTCCATTGAGTTTTTTCTTGGCCTCCAGGGCTTTGCATATGTTAGCTATTGCTCAACTGCTTCAGAAGACTGTACTATAAATCGCCCAGGCCCTCAGGCTGTGAACCAACAAAAGCTGCACTGCAGGGGGTGTACAAAACCACACAGGTTCATTGGAAAAATGTGCCTGTGGTGTCATTTCTGCAAAATTATATTATGTTGCTTCTTGATGCTTTCAAATTGAAATGTTCAAGCAGTCAGGGCAGAGCCGACATCTAAGACAGAGCCAGCAAGGCATTCAAGGGTGGAGCCAGCATCAAGGATGGAGCTGGCAGGGCAGGAAGCAAGGCCGGTGCCGGCAGTGCAAGGAGTTTGGGCAGCTCTTGCATGGCCTCCAGGCCTTGTAGGATGGAGGAAGCCTTCTTTCTCCTCCTCCATTTGCGAGAGCGAGGCAGTGGCATGGAGTTTACCACCTCTGGGGGTGCTGCAGCAACTTCGGCTGGAGGATTCCCCTGGCAAGCTATAGGAAATCCACAAACCCCCCAAACGTCAGGTGATCCAGCCCCCTCATTCTCCACCAGTTGAGGGGCTCGTCGAGGGCATAATTAAAAAGGTCTTTGAGAGCCACATCATTGAACCCCATTCCCTCTGCAGTAATGCTGAACTCCAGGGCAAACTCCTTCACGAGTTCTCATTTTGGCCCCATTTTTTACCCCGAGGGGGAAAACAGGCAGCCAGGACAGGGCACAGCAAGACAGGATCAGGATCAGGATCAGGATGACAAGACAGGATAGGATACAACCAGGGTACATTCGACAACGAAACGGCACAGGACTGCAAACACAAGGAGAATAAATAGGGAGCAAACAAGGCAGGTAACAAGGGAGGACAGGTGGGACAAATGAACCAATAAACAGGTAACAAGGTGGGTGGGGTTAGACAATAGACATGAGAGCACATGGCACACGGAAACAAAAAAGAAAAGCCATGCGCTCACACAAAACAAAAACACAAGCACATGGCCAGCAAAACAATCACAAGCCACATGCTTGAACAAAACAAGACAGGAACATGCAGCTAATGAGAACACTCATAAGCTGCGTGCTCACACACAACATAACAACATGAAAGCATGCAGCCAGTGAAAAACACAAGATAAATAATAAAATGAGCTGCGTGCAACAACACAAGGTAACGAGAAAGTATGCGGCCGAACGTGAACGCGGCCTAACGCGTGCTACACAAAACACAACAACACACACAGACAGAAGAGCGCACGGTCTCGAGTGTTTTTCCAACAACAAGACAGAACATGAAGAGTGAGTGTTATTTCTCAAATGAAACGGTGTAAAGCTGGTGAAAACTGACTCTCAGAGCAGCTCAGGAGATGAAGTTCATGTGTTCATGTGCAGACACTGAAAACAGTTTGTGTATCAGACAAAACTGCACCATTCACACAGAGACACAGAACATACAGACTTATTAGCAAAATGCACTGACTGGCTGCTTTTGCCTTTATTTCTGTTGTGTGATAGACTATTGGATTAATCCATATTGAGTAAAAATGTCCTGAGCTTATCATTGTTACCGACATGATATTGTTTATCGCCCAGTCCTACTGGGAATGATCATTAAAGTGGTCATGAATTGAGAAATACATTTTTCCTTGATGTTTTGACATGTAAGAGGTCACTATACCATAAAAAAAACATCCTGTGAATTTCAGAGCTCAAAACTTCCTCATTAGTCCAAAAATAGCTTTTATTGAAACCAAGATCCAAAAACGACTCGTTTCAGATTTTGTCACATTATGACGTAACAATGCAACGCAAGCCTGCCTCTGCAGAATCAGATCAACGCCTGCTTCTACATCATCACGTCTTTGG